CAAATAATATATCACATCGTGTCCACGCATCGTCGCTGTCCTCTGCACTCCGTACGATTTACGGATACGTTTTCATTTATTGTTCGCCCCCAACGTGACGCTGCGCACCGATTCAATCGCTTGCTTGCCCAGGGGACTCGTAACCGAAACCGAAGAACCGAAGAGACCGAGGAACACTTATCGGCTTTTGATAGCGCGAAAAGCCCCCCAGCATTAGGTCGCGCTTCTTCAGCACACAATCTGCAACTTTATTTGGAGTTCCTGCGGCCTTACTGCGACCTGCCACATTGATCTCCAGACAATCGCTGCGCGAACCCCATTCCGAGTCCCGACGACCGCCACGTTCCGTCGGCTCGGAACTGGCAAGCTCTACGTAGTGCAGAAGCCGCGGAACCGATCCGAGGACAAGCTTGAACCAACATCAGGTTACAAACCTGGAATGTGGGATAACGATTCCCTGAATAGTCACGTCATCATCCTGAGACTCCCCCCACGCCGACGGTTTTTCCGATTGTCATGCAAAACGCAGACATTTTCTTCATCCCACCGGTGCGCGGCCACTAGGGCGGCAACTAGCGGAAACTCGCGGTTTGTTTCTCAGTCTCTTAGCTAATAACTGCTAAGTCAGCTTTCTTGAAAATTCAGTCCCAGTTTTTCGATACCGCGCCAAGACGTACATAAGGAGGGCCTCGGTATCTTTTTATCTATGAAGAGGAGCCCCGAACTGACTTTGTCTGCAGTTCGGCGTTCAGATAGCAGACGACGACGCCAAAAAGCTGATAAGACCCCGCTACCAAACAACGGACTATGGCCGAACAGCTCAGAAAGACTCAAGGAGGCATTTTCTCATTCACCGCCCAGTGTAACCTAACCACAATCGCACAAGAATTGTCAATCGTCAACTCCACTACTCCGAGGTTTCGACGTTGGCATTCGCAGATTCCAGAACAGGTCCGAGACGTTGGACGATTCTCGCAATGTGACATGATGACTCCCCCTCGTTGCGGACACTTCTACCTAGGGCAGTCCGCCTCATAAATGCCAAAAGTGATGTGTAGCTTGCGAGTTATCCCTACGAGTGAAATGTTCAGTAATAGACTACTCTGACACCTTTCGTTTTCCATCTCCCGCATCCTGCAACGTTGATCCCTAACCGCTCTGACCGATCCGACTTCCTCATTGGGCCTCGAACCACTAAAATCCTGAAGCTTTCCTGACTCTTCAGACCGCGTCAAGACTTGTCTGGTCTCCGAGACGTTGGAAGTTTCCCGAACAATAACAGCCAGGGCCACTGTGCCTGACTTGCACCTTATTCTACTCGCGGCCCCTCGCCTCAGGTTATTTACATCCCACCTGGAAACGGTAAGGTTACCGCTATACTTTCCCCCAAATCATCGCAACAACGACATACTTGCAGGTCCATCTGGTCTCTGTAACGTGGCCTGCGACCGCGGGCGGCGCAACCCGAGCTGCGGCGAGGCCCAGGCGGCTTTTTGAGGGGGTCCGTGGAGGACTCCGTCTATTGTACTTAAATAAAACGGAAGGCTAATTTTCCAACTTTGCTCGTTCTTTTGCTCAGGTGGGAGAACTGAATAGATGTCAGAAAGGCTTGCAGAGCAAGCTCTTTACCTATCGTTAATTCATTCATTTCGTCGTCGTCGCTGGATGATCTCTCGCTCTGTTAATCAAGCCGGCCTTGACAACGAATCAGTACGACCAACGTCACAGCCGCACCCAAGTCCACCAATCGAGGAAGAGACCGCACGACATACCATCCCGGTACTTGCATCACCGCCGCCTAAAGCGCTAGCAATAACCGCGGTCGATACGACCCAACCTATTCGTATTGAGATAAACATGGAGTACACATCCGATAAAGAAAAGTCCTACGGGCCGGGCGAAGACCGAAAGCAGAAGCTCGACGAAGAGAGCGGTGGCGATGGTAACGATGACTTCAAGTCACCGCCGCAGTCGCCCACTAAACCGACGGGCCCCCCGAATGGAGGCTACAAGGCCTGGCTTCAAGTTCTTGGCTCGTTTTTCATTTATTTCAACACGTGGGGTAAGTCATAAGTCGGAATCTCCGCCCATACAATGATACCTCGCCCAGTGCACTATCTTTTTTGGCAAATGATATCCCGCGGGATCCGCATAGCCTGCATCAATTTAGGGATTAAGCCAAGCCTTGAGCGCGTTTAGAACTAACAATATTCCAGGACTGGTTGCCAGCTTTGGTACCTTCCAGGTCTATTACGAGGGTCACCTCCTGAAGGAACACAGCTCCTTCGCTATTTCCACAATTGGCTCGTTGCAAAGTTTCCTCATGGTGTTCCTGGGTCTCTTTGCCGGCCCCATCTTCGACTTGGGATACGCCAAGCAACTCCTCTGGGTGGGGACCACGTTGATCGTCACCGGGTCCATCCTCCAAAGTCTGAGCCACAACCTCTGGCAACTGTTATTGACGCAAGGACTCTGCGTTGGTGTTGGACAGGGAGCCTTAGCTGTCTTGGGAGTTGCCATTCTATCACCATGGTTCACTACAAAGCTACCCATGGCAACCGGGATTGCAGCGGCTGGAAGCGGTGTTGGCGGGTAAGTCTTCACTCATTAAAATTCTCCGGTGACTCAGAAAGTATTCCGCCGGCTGAGGCTGGTACTAACATCCTCTGCTCATAGCCTGGTATTGCCGATTCTGTTCAGATCGATTCAGCCAGAGGTTGGTTTCCGATGGACTGTGCGCACCATGGCGCTGATCGCGCTGGCAACCCTTAGCATTTCCATCGTGACCATGGAACCACCCAAACCATCAGCATTCAGGAGACCCTTAATCGACCGCACTGCCTTCAAAGACGCCCCTTACCTACTTTTTGTGGGAGCTTGCTGCCTCGTCTTCCTTGGCATGTACACTCCCTTCGTCTACATCCCAGGTTACGCGTTGGCAAGGCATGCTGTCAGCACGGAGATCGACAAGTACCTTCTTGCGATCCTCAATGGCGCATCCATTGTCGGACGCACCGTCCCTATCTTATTCACCGCTCAACTTGGACGGATGAACATGCTCATAGTCGCAGTAGCGACCTTGTCGATCTCGGCCTTCTGCCTTTCCGCTGTCACCCACACTCCCGGGCTGTTGGTGACGGTCATATTTTACGGAACCAGTAGCGGAGCCTTCTTCTCTCTGCAGCCTGCTACGTTTTCTCTCCTCACGGAGGACAAGAAGTACATCGGAACCCGACTTGGTATGGCTTATGCCGTAATGTCTTTTGCTCTGTTGCTAGGCTCTCCAGTTGGAGGCGCACTTGTGCGCTCAGTTGGCTACTTTAGCGCTTGGATCTGGGCAGGTGTGACCCTTGGCCTGGGTAGCATCACAATCGCATGTTCGAGAGGCATGGCAACTAAGTGGGATTGGAAGAAAACACTTTAGTGCCCCAAATTTGCATAACCAGACCGGTCTAATAATATAGAGTTGATACCCGATAGATTTCAGTAGACTAGCTTAGCCTAGATGACTCGCCACTTAATGCTTACACGATGTTAGAGTCAATTGCTTGTTCGTATGCATTCTGCTTTGTCTCTTGTGAGATAATGAGTCCACCTTCATCAGCCATTGTACCTGATTCCTCAACCCATGGGTTCACAACCTCTTACATGCAGAAGTGAGTACCCATGAGGTAACAGACCCTGTCCGCACTTTTGAATATTGAGTCAACGAATTCCCAGGCCTCCTTTAAAGTAGTGAGGCGAGGCATTACCCACGTTCCAAGCAAGTTTGGCTCACCCCAAAATAGTGAGACACTGACTAATTCTTATCCCAGCTCGGATGAAAATTGAACAGGCGGCACGCATAGAATTAGTTATGTCAGGAACCATCTGAGGCGACATTTCACGTGTCCAATTAAGCATATTTGAGAATTCTTTTCTTTTATGTAAGTAGGCTATGCTCCAGGCACATAGTGAACCTCTTCAGGCTTCTAGTGCATCTTCTCTTAGTCACTTTGTCTCACCCACCCCACTCGGCCATGTCTACTTCACTCAGGATCGAATGAACATATCAGAGCACCCAAATTGTTGGAGTCCTCAGCCAAAGCCAAGAAACAAAGGCGTGTTGCATGAGTAGTTTCCCTTAGCAAGTCCAAATATTCCGTACCCTTCGTAGAGAATCATCGGCTCTATTTCAAAAAGGACCCCACGCTCCACTAAGGAGCTGGTGGAGATCAGACAAAAGGGTTAGGGCCCTGGCCAGGATTCGAACCTGGGGCCTCTTCCAGGTGGATGTGTTTAATGACAACCCTAAGGAAGAATCATACCGCTAGACCACCAGGGCGACGACGATCTCACGATGGTCACTGAGTCGTTGGGAGGGGCAGCCGTTGCTTCGCCTCTTCATCCACAACAAGCGGAGCAACTTTGAGTTGACCAGTCGTAATGCCTCACCATGGGGGCACGCGAATCGAATACGACGGACTAGAATATCAGTATTGATGTGGCTTTGTGCTTTTAGTTACGTGACAAGAACAAGTTTGCGTTTCAGAGAGTCCTTGGTGCTGTGTTGAGAGAAACAGTAACTCGTGCAGATAGACCGAAAGTTGCTAGCGCTTACGGACGACTTACTCATGGGAAATTTTGATGATGTCTTCATGCTGTGTTCTAATATTGCGAGCATACTAGGTTCTAACTCAAGGTTGCGAAGTAGTTGCAAGAAGTCCTTTGACTCAGTAATAGTTACTGTATCCGGGAGTCATATGAAACTTTGGTCTCGTGGGTGACCTGAATCCGTGCGGCCGTTGAATGCGTAATTCGACCATCATTTTTTTCCGCAAGTGAAGCTGGCTCAATACCATCGGAGCCAACTACATTACCAGTATGACTTATTCCGCTACGCATCCGTTTGTGGTGTTTTGATTCAGACTCAATGATTGTCTCCCGCTCGCTGACAAGATCCTTGCGATACCTCCTCCCAGACCACAGCTTGGCTTCGTCATCGCTAGATTCCGCCTTTTTCAACTCCCTTCTGGAATATCTTCGTGTGACTGTAGTTCGTACGATTCGGACTGTAAGTTGCGTCTCTTCCTGTTGTTCTCGATGACCGTTGAGTATGGCAATGACTTCTTTCCGCTCTTGTCATCTGAGCCGGTGATCCGTGAAGAAATGAAGCTTGGCAGGTATCGAACAAAGAAGGGCTGCAATCCAGGAACCGAGGCACACACAATTCCGGCATTTGCCTCGAGAAAGGACCAGTTGAAGTTTTCGGCTACCTCCCAGCTGTAATTGGCACTCTTCAGCAGTGGCGGGAGGATGATTGTCCGTTTGATCGCCGATGCGCAGACACTATGCCACAATTAGGACTCGTGCAAATTTCTGAGGAAATAATACAGATAGAAGTAAAGACGGAATTCTCACAAGATGCCAGTGGCGAAGAGTAAGATGACAGAAGCCTTCTGCCTTCTAGCCATCTGAAGTGGAATGACGATCTTCAGGGGAAGCAACAACATGACCACGTCCATAATGATGTTAGCGATGCTGAGTATCATGTAAATAGTCTCCTTATCGACACATTGAGCAGTCTGTAGTGCCTCTGCGTCCCAAGATGTGTAGACAGGGCGACAACCGAAGCAGCGCAGCTACCGTAACAGATCTATCAGTTCAATCAGCCAAACAAACAGTCAAAAGAGAGGCAATTCGCGATTCAATCAGTCAGACAATGGAGGCCGGTTATTCAAATCGTCTGAATAGTTAAAGGCTCGCTGGAAAAGGGATATTCCGGCCGCTCGACTAATAAAAAGATTCGTAAGACCTACTATTTTATAAAAAGAATTAATAAAAACGAGTCGCGATTATAGGGGTCGAACCCCGACTCCGAGGCTAAAATACCTCAACGAGATATAACTTTATTATAACTAAGTTAACTAGTTATAATTAACTTATATTAATTAATATTAATAGGTAACTATTGTTACGAGCTGGACAAGGCAACCAACTGTGGCACAAAGCAAAAGCTTCGATAATGATGACTCCGGTCATCATTGTCCCTTGTTCTGCATATATAGCTACGCGCCCACAGTGACAAGTTGCGGCGGGCGTAACACCACATCTCCCCTCCAAGAGGCATGTCCCTATGCCGAGGACCAATCGGACATTTCGGGTATAAGCAGGGAAACTCCAGCATAGGTGCGGGGTAACCAGTCCTACACGTGCTGCCTACGGTCGGGACGCCCTTCATAGTGTGGGAGGCACAATCACACTATCGACGCAGCGTGCGGGAATCGAACCCACAACCCCTCTACGCAGGGTGGAGTCATCATTGTCGAAGCTTTTGCTTTGTGCCACAGTTGGTTGCCTTGTCCAGCTCGTAACAACTATCTGTTGGAAAGGTAAATCTTTTACCTTATTATTTGCCTTATTATTCATATTACGTAAGCATATTATATATCATATTAATCTATAAGAGTTATAGATTAATATAGATATTGATTACGTAAGCAAGATTGGTTATTATTGGAATAGGCCTACATTAGGCAGCAGGAGGTTGCTGCTGCGGTCCGTTCCAGCCACGTGTTACGGCCAGCTAGTCGTAGGGGTAGTTTGCAGAAGTTGAGGCTGCGGAACTGGTAACAGTAATCGTAGTCGGGGACAGCTTCAGGGAAGCTATGTCTGTCAATCGTAAGGGTAGGTAAGGCTTCGGTGATCAATCGTAGTCTTGTCAAGGTAGTAGCTGAAAGCGGATGTTAATCCTGATACGAAGTTAATTGCTGAAGAAGCTATGGAAAGTCTGTCCTAGAGCCCAGCTCGAGTCCATCCTTATATACAAGTCCGATCCTAACTGAACAGTGCTGAACAGTCCACTTTGTCTGGATATGTTGGATATGCCGAATATCCAACATATCCTTATCCCTTATCATATCTCTTATTATCACGTGACTTGTACCATAGTTCTTCCGTTCCTGGGGTTTCCCCAATGTTCCGTTCCGTCCTGCATATATGATGCGCCGTAGCCGCTAGGCGTCAGCGGGGCACGCCCTGGTCTTCATGTTGGGTCGTAACAGAAAGGTCTAAGAGAGTGCGTCGCTCGCTATGATGCGTCGCTCGCTATGGAAGTACGTTAAATAAAAAAGTGATTAATTAAATTAATTAACTAACGTACATGATAAGCGAGTGGGCCAGACAAGCGAGTGGGCCACCCAACCACGACCACATAACATGAAGGAGCAAATATCAACACCCACCTCATGGATTCAATCCAAACTATTCAGATTCCTCTTCCTCAGACATTTCCTCATTGAATCGACATGTTCGCGCATTATGACCAGTATTCCCGCAGACGCTATATCGTCGTTGGCCCGTCTCAGTCCTCGGTCGGCGACCACTACTCCGGCGCGTTTCCTCCTCCACCTGGGCTATAGCCTCTCTCTACGACTAAAGATCCTCTCCCTCAGCTATAATAAGGCTTCCTCCTTGTCAGAGACGGTTTTTCTTAGCTCTCCGGCGTCGACTAAGTAGGTTGTTCTCCTTTCGAAGGATCTAGTTCTCGGATCTTAATAAGGCGATCTAGTGTATAAATCTACGAGCCCCCTTAGATAGATGCTCTATAGCGTCGATAATTAAAGTTAGTAAGCTGTTTTGATAACGGGAGATTCGATTCTAGATGAGTTCTGACTAAGAAGATACTTCCGTTAGGTTATTTAGTGTCTGAGAAGTCTATGCCGGTGGTGTTATCGGGAGGGATCCTGGAGGCGTCGGAGTACGTAACTTCACATCAAGCTTTAAGAGTACACTCTCTACACTCAAAGGCATAATTCCTGCCCCTCTGAATCCTCCCTGGATGTTTTTCTCCGTGATCGCTTGCGTGAAAGCCCTGTGAAACGCCGGGAAAAAGTCCTCCTTAGTAATATATATATTACCCCGACGCATCTTGTCCTCGATTTCTCGACCGTACGCCGTTCTTAGAGGCCCAAAACATCCAATATCCAAGGGCTGGAGTAGATGAGACGAATGAGCCGGCATATATAGGGTAACAATGTTGTTCTTCTTATAAAAAATCTCGAAATCCGCGGAGTGGTGATTTTCGTGTCCGTCGACGACGAGGAGGCGGTATTAACCCTTTGCATACGGTCTTATATACCGTTCGAAGTACCGAGCCCAGTCTAGATCTCTTTCATTTGTTATCCATCCATTTTCAGACGTTGCGATGACCTAGTCGTATAGGAGACCGGATTCCGTGTACCAGGTAGAGAGGTGATATTGGCCCGTAACGATGATATACGGCGGAATGCTATAGCCCGACGGGCTGATGGCCTGAATAACCGTAACCCATTCACGATTGCCAGGCTATATTATTTTCGTGTTTGAACGCCTTTCGGCACTGGTGACGACCATGCCGGTTGAGATCTGGCCCATCATAAAGCCAGTCTCGTCAAAGTTGTAGATGTCTGAGTCTACGATGCCGTACTTCGCGATTATGTTCGCCACAAGCAAGAACCACGCGTTAATCGCGCCCGGATCTTCGCATTAGGCTCTCTTATAGTCGTACTTACGAAAACGATGCGTTCGCAACTCTGGTTATCGCTTTACGAAGTTCGAAGCCCATCGCTTCCCAACATGGGGTACGTCACGATCAGCGAGTAATCGATTCGCCATCTCTTCAATACCGCGAAGACGGGGAGGAAAACATCTGGCGTCCAGTTTAAAGATGTACTCAATCAGCTTCTTCTCTTCTAGCAGCATCAAATTCCGTAAGTTAGGTATGCTATCACGTCGTAATAATATTCCCTCTAATCTGCGGCCTAAGGTAACGCGACTAATATTATAGATCTTTACCGCGGCCCGAATACTGAGATTTCGGTCTTTCTGGGTAGCCTGAACCGCTAAGTTTGATTGGTTATCTTTGTTATATACTGTCATTGTTTTCGATGGAGAAATGCGTGTTGTGATGATGTAGGTGGCACGATGGCGGTTGGGTGGCCCACTCGCTTGTCTGGCCCACTTGCTTGTCATGTACGTTACTCAAAGGCAGTTTAGTAATTAATCAACTAAAAGGCCAGATTTATATTAATTACGTTAAGTGAAGCGGTAGTCCTGGCTGCGAATCGAGCTTCGCCATTGGGCGGTTTAGCCATGTATACGACATCTGTGGCGGTCGCCATGTCGGAAACTTCGAGATATTGACGGGCCCAGGAAGGATGGGCGGAAGATGATGGACGAAAGCCACGACTACCTCGTGTAACCTACATTTAATGGGGGATCGATAACTTTGAAGAATGTTGCGTGCGGAATAATAATCGACATCAGAACGACATGTTGGTTCCAAGGTTTCAATGAGATCAATCAGACATTGAACCATGTTCAGTGGCTATCCCACACAGCTTGCTTTTCCAACAATGAGTCTCCTCGGGAATATTTCCTAATGGAGATTATCATGTTCATCAGAGATGTTGTGGACCTCTTTGTTGGTTCGCAAGCAAGGATCTAGCCCACTACCTATGCATCCTTAATTTGTGAGGGAGGAAGTCTCCAACAAACAGAATATCTGGGTGAAGAAGGGTTCCAGCCAAGGACGTCTTGCGAGTCTTCCCAACATCCGAGTATTTGGGTCGTTCTCATCGTTCCTTCCAGTTTTCTCCTACGTGCCGGCTCCTAGAGTCCCGACCCCTACCTTAAAATACATACACAAGTCTAAGTTGATGACAAACTGCCTGCCCAGAACCGTAGCCTGGACTTGAGACGAAAAACACGACATCTCAACGTCCGAGAAAGGACTTAAATCTTACCGAGTACCATCTACGAAGTCGGTTATCCAAAAATGCGTATCCTCGACGTGGGTCATAATACTGGCATCAGCGGGTGCGCAAAGTGTGGTTAGCTGAGGATCTAGAACCCACTTGGTGTTTCGTGATCTCGCTTGAACGTATTCTACGTTGGCCATGAGAACGAACTATCTTGACGAATTCATACCTGGTTCTGCTAAAACTCACGAGTTTCTCACGATCATCCAAGGAACCAGGTACTTCCATTCGTGCGTTAAAGTTCAGCCACGAAACGAGATCTTGGCTCATCGGAGGCGGCCCGCAGGCCGATGTGCGGAGCCAAGACACTAGAAAGCCGGATTCCCAGCCGCGGAGACGATGACTTTCCTCCGGAGCCACAGGATGCTTGTAATCTGTGGATATGATACGATCCAATGTGATAAGCTGGGGTTGAAGGAACTTGTTGGAACCGGGGTTCTCGGTTCACAACCAACGCTGGTTTCGTCTTGAGAAAGTAGGATCGCCGAGCAAAAGTTCCATTTCACTGATTCCTAACAAGTCGAATGCTTTTATTGCCTTATCTGCGAGCTTTCTCCAGCATTCGAGGCTGGCCGTTACCCCGTGCTAGTCTCCGTCGGCATAAGTCAACATACCCACTTCCTGCCCCCCCCCCCTGTTTCTGGCACCACAAAAACGATGGGATCACAACCCAAGCTCCTCATTACTATTAACTATTGATCCTCAACCTCACCCACTACAATACAACTGCCAGCCTCACTAGGGCAATCAGATTCGCTGGATTCAGCCGTGATAACCTCCTTTTCACCCGCTTCGATTTGATCTCGGTGGATATCCCTGATGTTCGCGAACTTCGTATTAGGATTAACTTGAACAACCTTCCTCTTCCTTACTGTAGCGTTGGTAACTTGAGCCCTTAGAAGGGCCAGTTGCTGTTGGGTAGTTGCCAGTTGCCAGGCCTGCTCTTTGAAGCCTTTTTTCACCTTCCTGAACAGCAGCCGTTGAGTGCTGATATCATTGTCGAGTTAAGTGTATAAGTGTAGTTGACTGCTGAGCTCTGCCAGCTTCCTGGGTATCGACCAGGCTACTATAGAGGTAGCAGAATCCCATGACTCAACTGGGGTAGTTGGTTAACTATTGTGGCATCTCTTTCTGCCCTGGCTGGCTAGTTTCGGGGTAGTATGTTTAGTAGGAGGGGTGGGTAGTAGTAGGGGGTTTATTAGGGGCTTAACTATAGCCATAGGGTATAGACCAATCTATTTCTAACCACTTTCAATATTTAAGATTGATAGACTAGTAAGCCGAGCCTTCTGGTAATAGTCCAGGAAGTTCCTTTTGCCTACAATGGTAGAGTCGTTCTATTAAGACAGGTAACCGAGCTCCTTCCGATAGGCTGCCTTAACTAGGCTAAAGACAGACTGGTCAAGAGGTTAGAGGACGTGAGAGGAGTGAGGTGGTAAGAACAGTAAATGGATGTTGTTCATATAGCAATTCCACATGAAGTCTGTCGTCGTATGACTCCCATGCCCATCCACAACAAGCAGTCGAGCCTCCCCCTCAGTCTCAGGGATAGTCTGGGGGATAAACACCTTCTCCAACCACTCAATGGCAGTTAAGTCTGTAGTCCAGCCATTATCTGTTGCTGTGAACTCCCACCCATCTTATGGATCCAGATGTAATGGAAACCACTGCTGTTGGATTGTCTTCCCCTTGAAAATGATAAGAGGACGAAGTGCCCTGCCCAGGGCTGAGAAACACTCAATGATAGACACCCATGCCCTCGACCCAGGCTGTTTCTTGCGAACAGACGTCGTCTTAGCCATGCCCAACACTAACCCATTAGCTCCCTGGCCCTCGAGGATGCCAGTCTCATCCATATTATACCTATTGGCTGGTTTGATGTCCTTGATCTTAGGGATAGCAAGGAACTTAAACCAGTTCCTAATGACCTCAGTGGATGCCCCATTAACGCGTCTAGAATCGATGGAACGACTTTTCTGAACCTTAATGATAGGATTCCTTTTAATAAAGGCATGGATCCAGCCTTTTCCCAATGGTCTGGTATCCCCAGCAGCAAGCAGGACTCGTTCGGCGAATTCCTTCACCTGTTGGTGCGTTGGTGCGAGGCCTAGCGAAGCCTGTATGCGAACCCATTGTGCCAGCTTGCTCTCTTGGTCAGGAGACAGCCTCTGCAGGTCAGCAAATGACTGTTTCCTGGTCTGACCACCTTGGAGACGTAGTTGGAGGGTTGATCGTGGTATCCTATACTCCAATGAGGCTCTCTTTTGACTCTTGCCGTTTGAGATATCCTCGAGAGCTTGATGAAGCTGATCTTCGGTATATTGAGGCATTAGATATAGAAGAAGTCATGTGCAAAAGATGAGCCCATTTGGACGCGAATTGAAAATGTTGTGATAGAAGGAGGTTGGGGGTGGGCATTGGGTTGTGGTGGATTTTCGCGTTTTTGTGGGTGCCAGAAACAGGGGGGGGGCCAGGAAGTGGGTATGTTGACTTACCACGAATACTCTACCTCAGTCAAGCCCACAATGTCTCAAATGCAAAGTGAGCAAGAGAAGCACCCGGAGCTTTTCAAGCCGGACTTGAACATTGATCGGCGGCAATGCAAGCGTGTGGTGCCTCTCGAAGTCCTAGCTCTGGGCATGTCCAAGACCGGCATGTCGTGTAAGTAACTTCCGAGAGGGCGGAGATCTTCGGCTCAACTGGCAACACGTCAAAAATTCTAACTAGGCACAGCTATGCAAAGAGCCCTCATGATCCTCGGGTACAGCGACGTCTACCACGGATTCGCCATGGTCTCAAACATCCGCGAAGTTGAAATGTGGATGGAGGGCATGCACGCGAAGCAGAACCCCAAGCCGGGCCAGCAACCATTTGGCCGCACAGACTTCGACCAGCTGCTCGGTCACTGCGGAGCTGTCTGCGACATGCCAGCCAACTTCTTTGGACCCAAGCTGGTGGCAGCATACCCCGATTCCAAGGTGGTGCTTGTGGAGCGTGACATCGAGTCCTGGTACAAGAGCTTCAACGAGAGTATCATCACTGTCGCCTTCAACCCCGTCTGGCGATTTCTATCATGGTTGCGAGCCAAGTACGTGGCGGAGATTGACGACATCACCTTCACGTGGTTGAAGTACACTTTTGACGCAGAGACAAAGAAAGAAGTGCTCGAGAAGGCTCGCGACGGATATCGAAACCACTATGCAACGATTCGGAGAGAGACACCGCCTGAGCGGTTGCTCAACTACAACCTGAAGGACTGGTGGGAACCACTATGTGCCTTTCTGGGGAAGCCTATCCCTGATGTTCCCTTTCCGCATGTCAATGATCATGAGGCATACCATGAGAAGCTTCAGATCATCATCAGGAAGGGGGCTGTTGCATTCGCGAGGAAGGCGACATGGGTTGTGGTTCCAGGACTGATCGGTGTGGCAGCGTATTATTTCGGGTCGAGGGATGGGTTCCTGGGAAGTATCACACGAATCAGCAAGTGAGCAGGACCCAACACAAGGGGAATTGAATGTCAAGAACCATTCCAGTGAACTATTCCAGTGAAATTCTTGCTACATGCGTTTCGACATTGCTACGGTGCTCCAAGCCGGAGTTCTTTAACTTTCATGCTGATCTTCGATACGGAGGTATTGCGACCTGCCTGTTGAATCGTTAGAAAGTTAGCCAAGTTGGACGCATGTGCCGCTCTCTGAACAAAGAAAGAGCTGATGAGTCAGAAGAAACTGAACGAAGCTGACTGAAGCATCCAAGTCAAGAATCTAGTGCCCATCAGAGAACCTAAGTGAAGTCCTCGGAGGTCTGGATCGAAATTTTCGCTCCTGCCTCCCGTGATGGTGCAGCGCGATAGTAGGAGGATGTAATAAAGAATATTGTCAGTACTCCAAAAAGGTATCCATAACTGCCCGTATTTTGTTGTCTTAGTTCCAGTTGGTGCAAATGGGAATATTGTCTCTCTTAGCCGACCTACTTTGTTTATGGTTCGCTGCTGCCTTAGACACGTTCTGTGATCTTCGACCACTTCTTGCCGTCAGAAGCAGCCCGGTGATCGTTCCTTCTCATTCAAAATTTATTATTCAACTGATAAAAAGATTTCCTCTTCCCCTTTACCGCTCATAAAAGCTCACTCACTCACTCATCTTCGCTCTCACTCTGTCCTCTACACCGCTCTCAATCTCACACTTGCCTTTGGCATCTCCCACCCCTTCATCACCTTCTACCGTCTGCAACTCAGCCGCCACAGGTCCTCCCATAAAAGAATCTTTTCTCTCCAGCTGGACAATAAATCCTTTCTTCTTTACACCACATCATTCCTCTTCTGAGATCCATACCTCTACACAATCACACAGTTCTCCTCCCTCTTCACCCTTCCGCATCATCACAACCTTTCAGCGTTGTACACCCTTGCATATTTACTTGCAACTCTTCGCCTCTTATCATAACCCATTCATTTATCATCACACTCTCATCAAGACTCATTCATCATGTCTTCTGCCGGTTCTTCCTCTGAGGCAGCTACTGCCCCCAAGCCCGCCCTCACCGATCGCGAGCTTGAGATCCTCAAGCACGCCTGGAGCTCCTTGAAGAGCGCTCCCGAGGTAAGATCTACTCCCATCCAATGCCTTCACTTCACCATTCACCTCACGCATCGAACAAAGCTAATCAATATTTTCTCTTTCAGGTTGACTACCCCAAGCTCGCCGCCGCCTGCGGCATGTCCAACCATCGTTCCGCCTCCAACGCCTGGCTCGCCATCAAGAAGAAGCTCTTCGCCGACCTCCCCACCCAGGGCAGCGACAGCGCTGGCAACAGCCCCGCCAAGCGCAAGATCGCCACCCCGTCCAAGAAAAAGGCTGCCGCCGCTACCAGCTCTGACGACGCCGATGAGCTCGCTGCTGGTGCCAACCTGAACTCCGACGGCGAGGAGAAGCTCGTCGTCGAGTCCCCCGTCAAGAAGAAGCGCGCCACCCTGGCCAAGAAGAAGGCCGCTGCCACCCCCAAGGCCGTCATCAAGACCACTGGTGGGGACGAGGACTCCGATGAGGATGCCGAGCCCGAGACGCCTGTCAAGAAGAAGGCTACCCCCGCCAAGCGCAAGACCCCTGCCAAGAGCAAGAAGGCTGTTGCTGCCGAGAAGGCTGCTTCCGAGAACCAGGAGGCTGATGGCGAGGACTCTCCTGCCGCTAATGTCGCCAAGCTTGCCGTCAGAGACTGGATTGGCAAAGAGGAGGACGTTGAGATGTCTGGCGGCACCGACGCTGGCGATGCCAACACTGACGGTGCCAACACTGGCGAGATCTAAGGACCTTGCCGTTGCATCTTTCTCGTTACGGTTTCGCTTTCACTTCGAACCTTACGCTTCACTTCTAATAGCAATTTGGGGTTCTCGTAATGGCAGTTTGGGGTCTTTTGATAGCTCGGACTGGCGTTTAGGTGATACGGAGGTAATGGAAATGGGCATCAATTGGGTCTAGATCATGGTTGTGGCGACAACGTCTCGTGATACCCTCATAGGCTTTCGGATAGCTTGATAGACCTGAAGACACAGGTTAATAATTGAATCAAGCATCAGTACACATATAGATTCCCTGCATCATTGCGTTCGTGACTGTTCCACTTGCCATATTGTTCACCATTAGCCGCTACGTCGTCACACTGTTCGTGGACTTGACCAAGTCAGAAAAGTACCATCACGCAGGACGCGGCCGCCTCAGGTTCCTTTGTCAAAATGAGGATGTGCACTGACTCGCACGAGTTCTCAATTGTGCGTTGCTTAAGAGCGGAGCTTGAGCTCACAGTCCCATCGTCACCGCCGCTCTGTGCCAAAGGGATACCAAAGGGAGGAGTCACCATCCATTCACGAACTTTGCGACAGGCGCATCAAAGACCCAGACAAATTGACATCTTACAGAAAAGTCTTCAACAACCGTCAATCATAATCTCCGACATCAAGAAAAGAAAGCAAATAGTCAAAGCGAAGATGTCTCGTCTTCTCCTCATCGTCATCATCACCGCCCTCATCAGCGCTGCCTCTGCCGTAGTCTGCACCCAAGCCGAAACCTACTGCGGCTCACGCCTCCTCAAAGTCGGTTCGTATCTCTTACTCAGATCGTCTCATCTCCCATGTCAAATCCTTCACAACCTCTATTCTAACATCGAGCGTAGACTCCAGCAACCGCAAGGCGATTGAAGGCGCCCTGACATCAGGAAGACAGTCCATTGACGATGCGCACATTAAACAGTCTATCTTCTGGTGTGCCCCATCAGGCGTCCCTGTCCCGGGCGACTCAGGCCTCCTCTTTGTCACGTACTGCGGTCCCGAGAACATCTGCCAGGAAGGCGGAGCGCTCGGTGGCATCGGCGATGCTTGCGCGCTGTCAACGGGCGGTGGACTCAGTCATCGGCGCCATCACCATCACCATTGAGCGCTGTGGTGTGATTTCTTGACGCAAATGAAACGTAAATGAATGTTTTACGGCAACTAAAAATGGGCGGTAGAGATGTATTCAAGGGAGAAACTATTTGGCTTGGATTTTGTCTATTCACTCTTTTGAAATGGTAGAAAAATAGAAATCATGACAAGGCATGGTACATACTTGTGTCACCGCGACTCGCGCCCTCTATGGAATAATGATATATAGCCACATCTGCATCTACTCCTTGATATACTTCTTCAACCCACGAAGACGCTCCTTGGCCGTCTCAAGCACCTCGTCCTCCTTGCAGACAGCGAAACGGATGTAATCCGCAGCAATTTGCGCATTCTCGTCCGTGTAGAACTCGGTGGGCGGGATGGCGGCGACGCCCACCTCCTGGATGAGGAACCACGCGAGCTTGAAGTCGCGCGGGCGGCTGGCGACGTGGGGCGGGAACGGGTAGTCCTCGGGCAGCTTGACCTTGGCCATGTTGACGAGGACAAAGTAGCCGCCCTCGGGCTCCGAGTAGGGCATGCCGAGCTCCTTCCATACCTCGTTGAAGCGGTCCATCTTGCCCTTCATGTCCTTGATTGTCTCGTCCCAGAAGCCTTCCTTTTCGGCTTGTTCGAAACCTATTGGACGCGGAGTTAGCCTTATTCCAATCGTAGGCTTATGGAAGGAGGGGGAGAAAGGGGGGTGAAGCATACCGACAGCGCAGGCTTCTTGCAGAGGCGAGACGGAAGAGTAGCAGATGCGAGTATGCGCCGCAGAAACGTGCTGGATAAGCTCAGCGGGGCCCATGAGCCAGCCGACGCGCCATCCAGTAGCGTAAAAGTTCTTGCCCGCGGAGCCGACGGTGATGGTGAGGCGCTCGACCTCGGGGGAGAGTGTGGCAATTCTCGTGAAGGGAACGTAGTACAGGCGGTCGTAGACCTCGTCGGAGAGGATGATGATCTCGTTCTTGACGCACAGGTCGCCGATCTTCTGGAGCTCCTCCTTGGAGAAGACCTTGCCGACGGGGTTGTCTGTGTCAGAATGTCAGCAAAATATGCCCAGTGACTTGGGGGCTGTGAAGGAGGTTGCGACGAACGCGGTGTGTTGAGGACGATCATCTTGGTCTTTGGCGTGATGGCGCGCTCGAGCTCGTCAAAGTCGATGGTCCAGTTGGCGGCGGACGATGTCACCGTGGCGCCGTCTGTGGGAGGATGCAGGGGAACGTAGGTGATCTTGCCGCCGGGCATTTCAATGTTGCTAATGTACCTTTGCAAAGAGTCAGCATGTCTAGGATGTATCACGAATAGCACTCATGGTCTAGCTTACTGGTCGAAGAAGGGCTCAAAGACAATGACCTCATCACCGGGCTCAATGAAGGCCATGAAAGCACTCAGCATGCCTGATCACCGGTCAGTCAATTGTCCTTGGTTCTCATCTGGTAGACTTCTCATCTCACCCTCGTTTGCGCCAGTGGTGATGGTGACCTCGGTCTCAGGGTCCAGCTTGCGGCCCCAGTGAGGAGAATAGGCGTCCGCAATAGCCTTCCTGAGTCTTGGGCGGCCCTTGGTAGGGCTGTACTGGTTGCACTCGACGCGGTCCAGCGCTTGCTTGGCAGCGTTGAGGATGAAGTCGGGAGGGTTGTAGCCAAAGAACCCCTGGCCCATGTTTACGATGGGCTGTTGGGGCGATGCGGCAGCGGCCTCGTTGATGATGGACCTGGACTCATGGTCAGCATTCTGCACTCAATTGTCCGTCATTGCCCAACAGAGATGCGTCAAAAGTAGCGCAGGCGCATACTTGTCTCTCTCATGACCGGGATCTCAATACACACCAGACATCCTGTCGCCGGCCGGCAACGCGGGCCGCGGGCTTGATCTTGCTGCTGAGAGACATTGCGGTGGACTGGAGACCTCGTCTGGCGGTACTGGTGCTGGTAATGGGCGACCGGAAGAGAGGGAGGACGAGAGAGATCATGAAGAGGGCAATGGATGAGAGAGGGAATCGGAGCAGTACGGCGAAGAGGGTTGTGAGTCGGCCTCCTCGATTACCTATCCGTAGTACTCCAGAACGAAGCTCCGAAAATTGGAAGACGCTGATTTGCTTCACGGCAGCTGGAGACCCATTCCCGTCTGGAGCGTTTGAATGGCGTAATCGGCCGTCCCGATGTTCGGTCCTGCTGTCCACGCCCTGTGGCGGGGTGAGCCGGCCCAATGCGCTTTTTGGCGGGGTAAAAGTGCACGGCTCTCTTCTTATGTAATCTGCCAAAGCCGAGCCGGGGATTCTCCGGTATTGTTGGAGATTTACCCCGCGATTCTCGGTCGCTCAATTAACCCCAATTCCTCCATTGTCAGAGCAAGAACCCCAGAGAGTCCATTAATACATTAAGTTTGCGAGAGACTTTAGGCAGCTCAATTCAAGATCTCTTTTCTCAGCAGCAAAAGACTCCAGTAACTGAGATTAACCGGGCTATACAATGAAACTTTTCTTGTCTTCAGATGCATGCCTCTCCCTGATGACAAGGCACTTGAGGTACGTTGCTGCAAGTTATCAGGGGGCCTAGATCCGTCCTTCGAACGTCAGTCATCCACAGCCGCAGCTGCCATGACATTGGATGGTTTACAGTATATACAGCCCTTCAAAACCTCCAATTCCTCGACGGCTCTTGTTGGCCACGCTGCCTTGCATATATCAGTCACGACACAGGCCCGGCACTTGAGCTGATCCTGGTTCAGGATTCGAGAGCCAGGTGTCACGACAACCTCTCAAATTGGGCTATTGTATCAACTTGAGGTCATACGAACGTATCAGAGGTCACACTTTCATTATGAAGGATCTGTCCTAGGACAAGAATAATGGTATGATGCAAGAATCTAGTTGCCCTTGAACAACAGCGGTGCCAGCGTCAACAGAAATCCTTCTTGTGGTCCGTTTGTAGAACCTCATGAGTGTGGCTATGCGCTCCTCGATTCGTCCGAATCAAATGATCTACGAGGCGCCTGGGGACAAGTTTCCATCTATTCTTGTGATACCAATCCATTTCTGCTTCCATCTCTCCCTCACTGGCATTCTCAGCGCTATAAGTAGACGGCATCTGTCTCTCTCCCTATCTCTTCTGCTTCAATTACATCTACTCTTCATCATACCTGCAAGCTCATACCCAAGGCATCTCACATTCATCTCAAATTCTGAACTCAAGGCTCAGCCTGCTGCCTACCTGGAACTCACGATGCACTTTTCAACTTTTGCTATGATTACGTCCCTTGCTACTATGGCCATCGCCAACCCAGTGAATCTCGAAGTCAGAGACGACTGGGCCAAGGTGGTCTCCTTCAGTGACGACCTCTGCAATGCAGACCAGAGTACCTTTGAGGTGACTGGTAGCGGTGCATACCGTTGTATACCCGTCACCAACAAGAGATCCATCAAAGTCCTTCAGAAGAGGTATGTCTACCCATCACTCCCAACTTGGACAACGTCTAACCTCGTCCAGGGACTGTACGATCAAGACATTCAGCGGATCGAACTGCCGCGGCAGTCACTTTACCCTTCCCGATGGTGACCTTGACTGCCATTCCGTCTTGCATGCGTCTGTCGAGATCTCGTGTTAGAGATTGGAGGAAGAAGGTTCCTCGGTCATGACAAGTTAGATGTTTATGCCTGTCATTGGTACCCAGTAGCTCACTGTTTGCCAAAATGGAAAGGAATCTGTGTCAAAAGCCAATCTATGAGATCGTGCGCTCACCTGCCAACCAGAGGCTCCTCCAGACCTCAGGAACTTTCGACAATGTGGCCTGTTATTACATGCTGTTGGGAATTGGGCACATGAAACTGTACGCAAGGGATTGGTAGGAGATTGGGGAAGACATTTGCACATTGAAAACATAAATGAATACAAGAAGAACCCCTGCTTACCACATGGTGAATCGAAACGCCGCCGCATGATGTACCTTGCGAGACTTCATCGAGGTAGTCACCCGACCAAGCATTTCGACTGGTCAGGGGCAGGTGAAATGTTTTTTTATCCCTATAGCTCCTTCCTGTGTCGTTTGAGGCATGCCTAGACGCGCCAAGGCGGGACGTATTGCTTGTATGGACAGTTACGTATTGTGTGGCTAATGGGATTTTTTGATTTACTCATCTGACTATCCTGTCCTTTCTCATTCGACTGACTAACAAAAAGGCTGCTTTACTGTTCAGGTACATCATTTCAAGAGCAAGAAGAATCAAAGTTAGGCAGACATCGCATTTACTATTTACCTAGTACAGTAAATAACACTGAAAACGCACTTACCCACTTCTGCCCCTCAGGGGCGTAATGCATTGCCAAGAAGCTCAATGAAGCATCAATAAGCCAAGACATTTCGTAAAAGAATATCGACCATGCCATAATTTTCATGTCTGGAGGGCATATTCAGCTCTACCAGTATTTTGATAAACCAGGATTTTCTCAATGCCAATACATTTTGCAATATTTCTAGGCAGCTGCGAATTTAGGTGTATCTGAGGCTAGAGTTCGTATAATCATCCCTACCGACCTGGTCCCTACCTAGTATCCGAGGTACTCGTAGAATTCTTTGACAGCTAGGTGCCTGTAACGTCAGGGATTCAACCCCCACCCAATCTGCCGTATTCCGTCCACGAGAATATGCCCTTCTCTAATTGGTCAATCGGCCAACTGAGACTAACAGGCTGGGCGGAAAGAGGCACATTCGTCCCGTGTCAGCTAAGCTTTTTGGAGCGTTAGCGCGGCAGGCTACAGCCCCCAATCTCCCAGCTCTGGAACGTCCTTTCCTTCACATTGTTTGTAGGTACACGAATGGCAGGACCCAAAAAGAAAGTTGCGCCTTCCACACACAGTGACACAGTCCACACACTCACCCACCTTCCGAACCAAACAAGCAAGGAAGCTGCATGGCACTTTCCCCTGTTGCAACTTGCGTGTCTGAGAAACGTCGCCCATTCCCAGGCATTCCAGGCATATTCTTTCCATTGCAACAAGAGGCAACGCGGCTGAAGGAACGTACCTTTCCCATTCGTCACACACGCGCGGCACAGGTCTCGCCTCACACCATGATGATCCCCAACCTAATCTCGTCGACTCCCGTCTGCTTCACGGCGCAGCCTTTTCCTTCCCCTCCTACAATGTTGTCGTCTTCCACGAGCCTTACCCTCGCCGAGATCGACCGCATTCCTCTGCTCTTTCCTTCTGCGATGCGCTGACCCACAGCTCTCCAAATCATACAATGGTCGCTATCAACTCCCGCTTACGGACGATTCTTCCCCTAGCCGCCCTCTTCGCTCTGGTTCTCGTCCTCGTCCGCTTTCACGAAAGCATCATAAACCTGGATTCCCTCTACAACCTTGCGAAACATACAAAAACCACGCCGTCATCTACAAATGATAAGGACAACAAGCAGTCGCTCTCCGAAACTCCAGTCTACAAGCCAGCGCCGACGTACACCTCGCCTCCAGTGATCGACCCCTTCCCTCTCCTCGCCAACACCGACTCGCCGCCCCCCTCGATCCCCGCGCACAACGTCCCGCGCAACGACCTATACAAAGATTACGGCCTCGATGCGCAGCCACCACTCTTCATCGGCTTCACCCGCCAGTGGCCCATACTCCTACAATGTGTCGTCAGCTACATCACAGCAGGCTGGCCGCCCTCCAGTATCCACGTACTCGAGAACACGGGCGTCCAGTTCGCCAACGCCCAGGGCAAGCTCTCCCTCCAGAACCAGTTCTACCTGAACCACACGACTCTGAAGCGGCTGGGTGTAAACGTCATTCAGGCACCCGCCCTGCTCTCCTTTTCGCAAATGCAAAACATGTTCTTGCACGAGGCGCATAAGAACAACTGGCCATACTACTTTTACTCCCACCAGGACGTCCTCGTCTTTTCCTTTGAGGACGGCAAAGACGACACTCACCGGCCCGGCGACCGCAAATGGGAATTCTACGATGAGGAGGAGCAAAATGAGATCATGAATCCGCCTGCGGCGGGACAACCAGGCTATCGAACCATCTACGAGAACTGCCTACGGGATCTCGACACCACAGTAAGGCGTAACGAGAGGTGGGGGTTCCGGTGGTACCAGTACGACCACTTGACGCTAGTCAACCGCGCCGCGATGGACGCCATTGGCGGATGGGACTCGCTGATTCCGTACTACGCGACCGACTGCGACATGAATGCGCGTCTGGCCATGGACGGCTGGTCGATGAAGCACCGTAGGGCGGGCATCATCAACGACATTTCGACGCACCTCGAAGACTTGTCCGTCCTCTACAGGGTGCCCGGTGCGGTGCCGAAAATGGTCGACCCGAATCCCCCGCCCCCGCCTCCGCCCCCGCCGCCGGAAGAGAAGAAACCCGAAGATGCAAAGAAAAAGCGAGACGACGAACTCGCAGCGAATTCCACCATCACAGACGAGGCAGAGTCCTTCCGCGCCGTGGTCCGAACGGGCCTGGAAATGACAAACTACAAGTACAGAGACAGCGACCACAACCGCAACTCGTGGCAAAAGAGCCAGCACGGCGGCGAGGGCGAGCCGTATTACTACGACGCTGCTGGGTTCGCAGAGGCCTTTGAGATGCTGGTCGCTGCCGGGCGCCGGGTCTTTGAGCTGAAGTGGGGACGCGGCGGGTGCGATATCGCCGAGGGGTTCGGGTTAAAGATTACGGACCAGTGGCGCGTCTTGCCCCCGAAAAAGAAGGATGGTTGAGCTGGGGATAGTTGGCTGGTGGTGGGTTTTGCGCGAGTCACGGCGGTGACGTCGTTTTTTGGGGGCACGAAGATGTCACTCATGAGTTACATGGAGTCGAGAATGACTCGTTACATACAGGACCTGATTCAATGATGCAAGGAGTTTGAAAGTCTGGCGATATGGCTTCAAGACACCAAGAAGGGCATGATAGATTTAGACGAGCACCTTCAAAGCATCATTTCGCTGTATCAAATATGGGAAGGAGAAACAAATGGCATATAATGATATCTTGATATTCAATGGTCAAAGCCATCTATGCGGGTAATTGATGTAACGCACTAATGTACCTATCCAACTCCAATATCGGAGACAGAATTGTGTACGTAAGGCGTTGATGCCATATGCTACTAATGAACTAGTAAAAGGAGGTAAAAACCAAACAAAAGGTTGGATGGAACAGATGAGAAAATCGTACACAGTTCGTGCTCCTCTCAAAATGCCAATCCCCTTTCCCAAAGACGCCAATACCCGATCTATCTAGGTATCCCAGGGTTTTCGTTTGAAATCCAAACACACATTGAAGCGGCCATCGGCTCTCGGTTATCCCAGTATTCTGTGAAGTGGAAATACTTGGGTTCAACCTTTTCGGCCAAAATGCTCTCGCTCCCTTCTTCTTCTCTCGCCTTCGCACACTTATCGTCAATAACACAAGGAAATAATAAGACAAGAAAGAATATCTCTACTGAAGAGACGCTTTCTATGCCTCGGTGATGTTTCTCGCCATCGCACCACCAGCCTGAATCTCATTAGGCGCAAACTTGATCCCGCTAGCCGAGGCAGCAATCTGTGACTTGGGCGCGTACGCCGATGTCGCGCTGCCACTGCGAAGAACCTCTGCGCGCGTGGCGCCGAACTTTTCGGGGGAGAGACCCATGGAGCGGAGGAAGTGCACCGTCTCGGTCCACTCCTGGTCCTTGCGGGCCGCGTCCCATCCGAGCTCTTCGGCCATGACGTCGATTACGCGCGGCAGGGCGCGGAGCGCGGACTCGGCGTCGAGGAAGGCGAGGCGGGTGCGGCGGGAAATGAGGTCCGTTGCCGTCAGTGCGGCCTCGGCGCGGACGCCGTGGCGGATCTCGCCCTCGACAAAGGGGAAGTTGGGGATGATGCGCTCGCGGTCGGCGGGGTTGGTGGCGACGGACCAGGCGCGGTCGCCGTAGTTGTGGGCCAGGTGGTGGGCTACGTCGCTGTCGAGGGCGAAGTGGGTAATGAGGTGACCCGGGAGGTGCTTTGAGAAGCCGTGGGCGCCGACGAGGGGGATCTTGGTGGTGATGCAGGCGCCGGTTGTGGTGAAGGCGGGGAGGCCTGCGCCGGAGATGTCGGGGAGGGAGACGGGTTTGGGAGTGAGGTTGAAGGTCTTGATGGCTTCGTCGACGGCGTCTTCGGCCATTTGGCGGTAGGTTGTCCACTTTCCGCCTGCGCAGGTGAGGAGGCCGGAGGAGGAGACGGTGACGAGGTGGGAGCGGACGAGGGATTCGGTGTTCTTTGCGTTGGGGTCCTTGACCAGGGGGCGGATTCCTAGCGTGAGATGTTAGTTTTCTTGGTCTTGAAAGCGATATCGGAGGAAGACTGAATGAGTGAACTTACCAGACCAGGCGGAGAGAACATCGGCACGGGACAGAGCGGACTCGGGGGTAATCAGCTTGTTGACCTCCTTGAGAATGAACTTGATGTCGTCCTCGCGGGCAATGGGCTCGCGCTCGATGGGGGCAGCGTTATCCGTGGTTCCAGCCAGAGTGTATCCTTGCCAGGGGAGGACAAAAATGACACGACCGTCCGAGGTAGCAGCATCCAAAAGACCAATTCCGTTGGGGCAGATGTCACCGGGCAACATGATGTGAGCACCAGAGGCCGGGGCGACGATAGGCTTGCGTTCAGGGTTGTCCATGCACTCGATTGCGTCGGCAAAGGGGCCAGTAGCGTTGATGACGCCCTTTGCGCGGACGGTGAAGGGGGCGCTGCCGGGGGACTTGACGTCGCGGACTTGTGCGCCCGTGATCTTGCCGGTGGAGGAGTTCTTTTCCAGAGAGGTGACTTCGACGTGGTTGAGGACGGTGGCGCCGTAAAAGGCAGCCGTGAGGGCGAGGGAGACGTTCATGCGGGAGTCGTTGTGCTGGCCGTCGTAGTAGACGAGAGCGCCGACCATGTTATCCTTTCTGAGCTTGGGGAAGGCCTCCATGGCCTTCTTGGTAGAGACGTAGTAGGAGCTCTCGAGGCCTTGGGAGCCGGCGAGGAGATCGTAGGCCTTTGTGCCGGCCCAGAAGTACGGGGTCTGCCACCATTTCTGGATGGGCAAGAGAATGGGCAGAGAAGAGGACAGGTGCGGGGCGACGTTGAGGAAGGTCTTGCGCTCGTGAAGGGCCTCCATGACGAGCTCGAGCTGGGAGTAGTCGAGGTTCCAGACGGCCTTTTCGAGGTAACGAACGCCGCCGTGGACGAGCTTGGTGCTCTTGGACGAGGTTCCGGCGGAGAAGTCGTCGCGCTCGACGAGGGCGACCTTGAGGCCGCGGGTGACGGCGTCGAGGGCGATGCCAGTTCCGGTAGCGCCGCCGCCAATTACGAGGAGGTCGTACTCTTGGGCGTCGGAGTTGTGGGCGCGCAGGTCGGCCAGCTGGGCGGCGCGGTCCTTTGTGGCGGGGAATGAGGGCGGGATGATCTTGCCTTGGTCGTCGCGCTTAAGGTCGACGAGGGCCTTGTCGAAGTTGTGAGCGCCGCGGCCGCTGAGGAAGGTTGAGTAGGCGACGACACCACCGGTTGCCGCTGCGGCGGCGATGGCGACGGGCCTTCTCAGGCTCGAGAAACGAGACGCCATGTTGGCGGGTGTTTCTTGTGTTTCTCTTTACTCGGTGAGGTTTAGACCGAGTCCGAAGAGGACGGGACGATGACGATTGGAGGTGCGTATAAGGTGGTAGGTGACCAGTCCAGGCGTGTAGGGTAGGATGTCTGTCTGTATTTGCTTTCCCTTGATGGTGATGAGGAAGGGTTCACAGGTTGATGATCCTGGGAGGAATCGGGAAGGTGAAGTGAAGGGAGAAGAAGTAGTAAGAGATAGGAAGGAAGAGAAAAGCTCAAGGGCTTAAGAGGGACCGAAGGGGTTGAGGATTGTCGATCGGTAGATGACCCAAGAGAGTGGGTAGATTCCGAGGTTGGCACGGGTGGCAGAACAGAAAAGCAGGAAGCTGTCCTGGTCCGGGCTGGGCCGCCCAGCCGCAACTTTGGACTTTTATTCGTGGAATGACACCCCGAGCTCGAGAAGGAATGGTCCCGTTTGGCGCGAGCAAAAATCTTCCGTTGGACTGACTGGGCACGGCGGGAGCAGGGGAGGTGGGTAGCGGAGATGGAAGAGAGAGCGTGAGGGCGAATGTGAGGAAAATAAAAAATAACGAAACTTGAGCCAGCAAGAAGAGGCTAAAAGTAGATCGGGGGAGGGGGGTACGGGGATACCTGTGATGACGGAGATCGGGGGACTGAGAGACATGCAGCTTTGGCCGGTAGCGATCGATGGACACACGGACAAAGAGGGCCATACTCCGTAAACGCCAGCTCAGACATCTCGAGGTCTTGCTTGGTATCGCTCGCATTGCCAATTGGATCTTACCCCCACGTGGTCGCAGGCGCGTCTGCGGTATGGCGGCATGGCCCCGAACGCCCGACTCTCATCTTGAGACTTCTAGTGATACCTTGTCTGTTCTGACCACCCTGCCTGCATTCCCTGTGCTATGCCACATCACTGTATGCTATCACCTATGGACCGCTTTAGTCTGCTGGTAACGCCATTGCTCACTTCATCCGTCACGTTGTGGTGAACGGGGGGCAGTGGTGAATGGCAACCGGTCTCCGGAAGCAGCAGCAAAGTGCTCGAGTCGGGGTCTGACATCATGGCACCGAGCTCACTCCGAGCTAGCAATTAGCAAGCAGAACAGCACGTCTGCGCCCTGACTGAGTGACTGAGCAGAGTCAGGACATGCAGTGAGTGGAAGACAGAGGGGACCCGCTTCTCGTTCGTCATGTCGGTAACGGCGCAGGATCCAGTATGGAGAAATGAATGGGGAAAGGCACGCAAATCTGGAGGTGGGAAAGGGACGTCGGTGCCATGCTATCCGTATGCGTAGAGTATCCGTAAATTGTATAGTGTTTCCAGTCAGAGCCTCAAATGTGCCATCAGGGGTCCATGTGCACTTCGGTGTTTATATTCCGAGATGGTGACACGGTTTCGGTATTCTTTCGGTGCTGGTGAGATTCGTACCCCTGTCTCGGTGCTCTCGGTTGACATGGCCGACCACTGAAGAAGAATTGGAGAAGGCGCCGCCCGGGTCCCGCAATTACCTGGAAGGCACGATGGGTGAGGGTCTGAGAAAGGAGGTGGGGTCACAGATTTGGAGACGGCAGGGACGGTTCCACCTTGTGGTTCGCAACTTCCTTCGCAATGATCGGCGGAATCCTCCGGCCGAAAAGTACGTATCTTTTCACTTTAGCCCCTGCTGCCAGCCCTGACCCTCTTTTCCCGTGCCACACGTGCCTTCTCCTCTTTTTGCTTTTCCTCACCACCGTCGAGAGGTACGTATCCACTTTAGTAATCGTGGACGCCGATACTGCGGGCTCGACTCTCGCTCGTCCTCGGTGTTGCATTCCCGTCACCACATGCCACACCGCAGAGCACAGCATCACCACATACCACCCAGCAATCCAATCACGCTGTCTGCAGAATCAGCAGCGAATGCACAGTAACCTCGCCCGCTGGATCTCGAGACACGCATCGCAGACGCCGTACGGCCACGGAGTACCTCGATCCAGTATTAACAATCACTATTGCCAAACGGCGACCACACGGGTGACCCAGCAATCGGCCCGGCGAATGGCCCGCGACTGATTTCTCCACGTCGACTCCTCCCAACGTCTCCATCAGAGTCCATCGTGGGATGTTTGCCCACCCAGCGCCACGCCATACTGCCGCTAACTAGCCTTATCCTCTGCCATCCTCACATGTCGGCCCTTATACAGGGGCCTGATTACTCTGGGTCTCGCCTCACTTCCCAAGTTGAGGCCCGATTGTGAGGCTTGCCCAAAGCCCAAGGGGTCTCAACCAGCCTCACCAACCAAACATTTTCTCCCAGGGCGGATATCTGGTTCATCTTAAGAACCAGATGCCATCCTCTTGCTGTCCGTACTGCCGTCCGTTTTTGGTTCCCGGCGACGGGTGGCTGCATCACACAGACGCCGCGCCATTTTGGTGGTGACCGAAGTATCGGGATTCACAGCCAACAAACGCCGTCCACTCGAGCCTGCGTTCGTTTCCTTTTTTTCACCTACATATCATCGACTAGCCCAACCACCATGGCATCGCATACATACGATTTACTACCACCACTCGCCAAGCAATCCAAGTCAGCAAAACCTGCCTTCAGCCTGCCGACTCATCCCTCCTGACCCAGCTATCTTCGCAACTTTTAACGATCATCGATCACGCGCAATGCCCCAACGCAGTGCAGCGGCCGACGTCCAAGCTCGACATACAAGTCACTCTACCTCGGCCATGTACCTCGACCTGCTCTTGTACGGGTACTTGGGGAGTGTCCGGACACGAACCCCTCCTAGAATACGACCGCGGTAGGGACACCGTTGTTGCACCCGCACCGCACCCGCACGCCGCTACCAAGTTCTTCGCTGCACATCCCCGCGGCCGCCACGGCCACGCCCCAGGGCCACGCCGAACATCCCGCGCCGCCCCTTGCAACTTGCGTGCAGAAAGTGGGAGGAAGCAAGCTGAGGTGGCACATGTGTGGAAATGCTGCCAATCCACAAACAGTCCACCACTCAGCTCTCCTACCCACGCAAACGGTCACGATACCGTCAATTTTTTTTTGCGATGAAGCGCTGGACCAGATTTGGTTGCCAGTCTGGCCGTGTTGCGTACAAGGTCCCTGTCCAAGACAGCCACACGACCCAGCTCGAAATAGTCCTTCACCCCCGTTGACTTACACGCAACCACAGGTCAACCCATCACCATGTCCTCGTTTGATGACCTTGATTTGCGTCTAGGTTTCGAAACTCGCAGGTTGCAGCTGCGCCCCACGGCACGTTCGCAGCCCAGAGTGCCAACCTTAGCACTGCGACAATTATCACACCCAGAGTTTGTCGACTCGCGCTACCGAACCTTCCAGCCAATCTGAGTAAGATGGACCAGGTCCCAGGGTGCAACTTGACAGTGACGTTTCCTGCACGTCCACTAGCTCTTGGCTGGTTCTACCCCGCGCTTCCAGACGAAGCACCAGCCAGACACAACCTTATCTCGCGACGGGCAACGTTCGCCGGGCCACTGAATAAGGGCCATCGATCGAAGACAGCGGTCTTACGAGTCAGCTTCTTTCAGAGTTTGGAAGCCACCGGCCTCTCATCGAGGCCATCGCGATTTCGAAGTCATTGTACCCATCATGTACGATGCAAGCCACCACCACTTACACACGCAACGTCCGCTGGGCACTGCTCCGCCTCGCATCACAACTTTGCTACAACTCTACAAACAGGAAACTCATAGGTACTAGGTGGTGATTGGGCATCCGGTCCATCCAGAAGGACAGTCATCCGAGTTCATCGCCATGCGACCACCTCTTGACATCACCTCCCGTCGCCACTCCGTCCAATCCGCGCCCACTCCCGCCTTGACGTGGACGATAGTTCAGGCGACAACGGTCCACTCTCCCCAACTCTGCCCATCTTCAACGTAAGCTAAGCGCACAGTTCTTGCGAATGGCAAGTTGCCACCAAAGCTTGAACAACTCACCAGGGCTCATCCGAAGTCCTCGCAATGCACACTTTTGTTGCGCAAATAAGGATTTCTAGGCATTGGCGAGCTGGATGCGCATAGAAAGCATGGGCGTCGTGATGCCTAAGCTCACGCAGCTTACACGGTAGGTTGCTAACTACTCGTCTTCTACTGTCTGCCCGTCTCTTGCAAAGGTCAAGCAAGAGTCGGCTACAGACGGCGGGTGCAAGATGCCCACCCATTTCCGCAAGCTGGGGTTAAATGGATCATGGCTGGGGCCCCATTCGGTGTTGATACTGCGATGGCTACCGAGTCCACGAAACTATTGGATTCCAGACATTCTTTTTTGTCCAGACATTCCAAAAGAGAATGTGCAACCGCGGACCCAGGCCGTCGGGGTAAGCTGTCAGGGCCAAACTTGAGCTTCTCTGGCTTCTGAGAGGTCAGAGGCGGGACCTCATTCGCGGTTCACCACACCAAAACCCCAGTCTCCCAACAAGATGCAAGCCCACGCTATCATTGATTGCATGCAAAGTGCGAGCATTCTGTTGGTCTGGATTCTTTGGGTCTGGTGGTGGTGGTTCAGCTTGCTGCACTGGAAGCGAGATTCCAGCAGCGTGGGCAGGTTCCTCCCGCTAGCCAAGTTGGCGGGCACTGGGCAGGGCGGCCCCCGTAATTTGGGACCATGTCTCTGAGCAAAAACCCCCGACTTGACGGAAGAATTGTTCACATGGCCCGCCCTCGGGGCATCGTGCCAATCTTCCAGCGAAGGTGGCTTTTTTTCTGTGCTCAAGGGTCTTCACGAACATACTAATTGCTGGCATGGGCGCACACAAGTCTCTTCATCGTAGTCTGGAGACTTGTGTTCTTTGTGTGTAGTCACCGGGCAAAATTCTTCAATTTTGAAATGACTTTGTGATTTGGAAATATGACACCGCTAATACCGCCCACGCCAATAAACCCAGCAGCAGCAGCACCTCAACACCCCAACAGACAAGAAACAGGAGCGACGGAATGCGAGCAAGCAAAGCTTCTGATAACGATTTTTTTTCGCCCGTGTTCGCTTTTTTGGGTTTGGACCGTAAGACAGACCATCTTTTTTGGTGTTTCCTTTTTGTTTCTTCCCTTTTGTTTCGCTTGGGTTTGCGAGATCCTCAAGTCTCTTTGATTTTCTGGTCTTCCGAGGGGAAAAGAATCCAAGTCGGTCGCCCGTCCCAAGTCTCTCTCTTTCTCTGTCTCTCATCTCATCTTCTCTCTCGTTATCCGAAACCCGTGGTATCATTGTCTGCCAGTTTCTTTGCCTTTCTCACTCTCGCACACTCATAAGAGATCATCGTCGAGGTTGTTATTCATCATGAAGGACTGTCCCCACACGATAGGATCCCGGTGTCAATCTCATCACTCATCAAGATGAAGATAACATCTCTCTCACTTTCTCATCATCAAACGCACAAATCGAACACACACACACACACACACACACATCGATGGAGGAGCCAGGCACTCTACACCTTCTCCAAGCGGTTCTTGTAGGTGTTGGACCAGACGTCCCGGCGAGGGCGGAAGAGTCTGGTGAGGCCAAAATAGGGCGTGTTGATGGGGCTCTCGCCGGTGAAGATGAAGACGTCGTACAGGAAGCCGCCAAAGAGGGTACCGAAGAAAGGAGCGACCATGGGGATCTATGGAGATGAAGCGTTAGTCACGGATTCTTAGGACGAGGATGTGAAGAGGATTCGCCACCCGGAAAGACGACATCGGCGGAGGACCACATGACCAACGCATACGATGACGAAAAGACCGAGCCCCATCAGAAGATAGGGGGGGAGCCGAGGCAGGCAGGAAAAGGAATTTCTTGCTGCTTACCCAGAAATAGTATCCACCAGCGGACCACACCTCAGACCCGTATCCGAGAATGTACGAAACCAGGCGGGGGCCAAAGTCACGCGCCAGGTTAATGGCGTAGCCAGTCTCCCAACCGAAG